AGGGCGCAGTGGAGCCTCTGTGTTCTGCAAAACCTGAGCAGGGGCTAAGCACAGTGTGCATCATCTCCCCCCAGCAAAATGGGAGTGGGAGGCCCCACCCAGGAGTTCCTCAGGCTTTAACCCAGCAATCCCTCAGGACTTCAAGGGCATGAAGGGAGCTGCTTAGGAAATCTTGGCAATTAGTACAGCCACTCAAAGACACCCTTCCTTAAACCTCAAGAGAAAATTGAAACAATGAATAATGTTAATAAACAGTCAGAAACCGAAAAACTTGGTTGGAGAGTGAATAGCATGGCTGGCTGGCTGGCTGGTTGGCTGCTCCCAGGGCAAAGAGTCCCCTGTGTGTACCAAGTGCTGCTGCTGGCCATGGGTCACTGTGGTGCTGCACACAGCCAGGGGATGGAGTAACACAGCTTCCCCCTGGGCACCCCACGCTGGGGAGCTGCTGCTGGTCAGCCCTGCCCAGCCCTGGGAGCCATGACTAACGCTGCAAGAGTACAAGCCTCTGGCAGCGCAGGTCTGCATGGTGCCTCAAGGGGGAACCTCCTTTCTGTGGCACAGCAGGATTTAATGGGAACTACTAAACATGGAGGCAGAAGGTCAAACCAATTTCCAGTTATAGATGGTGGTAATCATGAAATTGACCCCTAGGTCACAGGAAATCCATCTGTCTGCCCAGACGGGATGGTCACCAACACCAGATTGAGTCACTTGAGGTTCTGTCTAGCTGAGTCTTGAAAACCTCCATGGGCAGAGACCCAGCTGCCTGCATAGGCAACTAAGCTCCTAGTGACATTTTTTCCCCTAATGGCCAGCTTGAAAGTCCTAAGAAACAACCTGTGTCTGTTACCTTGTTTGGTACTGGCCACTTCTATGCTGCCTCTGGAACTCCTTTCCAAGGCTAATTGGGTCAGCCTGAGCCTTCCTTGTCTCCAACCAGCCCACATCCCTCAGTCTCTCCTCCTAGGCCCATGCCATCTTGGAATCCTTGAGCCAGATCAGTTTCCTGCACCCCTCCTGAATTTGGGGGTCCACCACTGGATAAAACACTCCAGGTAGAACCATTGACTACATTAGGACTCTGAGAACCCCACTGGGACTGGCTGCCCCTGCCCAACCCACAGGGCTTCATCCTCCTCCCTGCCTATGGCCCAGGACCCCATCTCAGATTTTACAAGCAAGTTGCTGACCTTTTTTTGGTATTCAATACCTGGAAAGAGACCTGACTTAGAAAGGGTGCTGAAACACACAGCCCAACAGCATCAAGCAAGAAGGTGTTATTTTACAGTCTAAAGTACTTTGTTCTGTCCTCAGGAAGGACAACATTCTCAGGAATGTTGTCTTCTTCAATTATTTCCATTAAAAAGTCACATGGTACAACACTCCACACACTTGATTCTTGGGGGCAAAGTCCTGGTTCTCCTGGAAAGGCTTTTACTACTGACCTGAGCTCACCTCAGATTTTTCTCCAAGATCAAGTGAGCTGCAGGCACCACACCACTTGCTGTAGATAAGTGTCCATATTGTGCAACTTCCCTCTGCACCTCTCAGATCCCCAAAATGAAGATTTGCTGCTGCTCTTCTGCAGAAGAGCACCCTGAACACGTCAGAATTAGTACCCATTTATTCCAAATTTCATGTTTCTTTCTGTGCCAGACAAGGTCAGAGCCACTCTTCTGGCATGTTGTGTCACAGAACTTCCTTCTTCAAAAACACCCCACTGCTTGCAAGATCATGTAATTATGTGTGCATGTGGGACATTCTTGCAATGTGATCATTTAATGTCTCTGAAGGGTCAGCAGAGGGCACTGAGTCAAATTCCTTGAAAATTTTGAATATAACAAACTCAGCAGAACAAGCTACCAAACTTATTTATTGCATCTACTTCAAATAATTATCACCTATGCAAACATACCGTCCTTCAAGTGATTTCAATATATGCTGTGACTGAGATGCTGTACAAACTTTCAGTGACTCCTTGTCAATGACAACAGGGACATTTAGAAGTTTTTATGTATATTTCCTTATCTAATCAGTCAAATTATGATTTATGGTTCAACTGAAACTGTATTTTCATTTGGCTTTGTTCCTTGTAAAGTTATATGAGACACTGTTTACCTTAGAATACAATACTCCTGGACCTTGTTTATACAACATTTTTTTTGTTTTTCTGTTTCTGTTTCCCACCATTAATTCAAATATTCTTATTTGAATCTTCCTGAGCATCATTGTGAGCCTTTCTGTTAACCATGCACATGCTTCTTCTACTCTTTAAAAGTGTGACATGGTATGGCCATGCCTGATGATGAATAAGATGCTAAAAAACAATGTGTTGTGTTTGAGAATGAGAGGTAGGTGCAGGAAAGACTCATTACAACCAACACTTGAGAGGTAAGAGAATCATGGAGTGGTTTGTGTTGAAAGGGACTTTAAAGATAATCTAGCTCCAAACACCCTGTCAGGACCAGGGACACCTTCCACTAGACCAGGCTGCTCAGAGCTCCATCCAACCTGGCCTTGAATAGTGCCAGGGATGGGGCATCCACAGCTTCTCTGGGCAACCTCTTCCAGTAAGATTTCTTTCCTTTTATCCAACCTTAATCTTCCTTCTTACAGTTTGTCCCCATTGCTCCCTGTCCTATCACTGCAGTTCCTGATGCAGTCCCTCTCTGGCTTCCCTGTAGGCCCCCTGCAGTTGCTGGAAGGTTGCTATGAGGTCTCCACACAACCTTCTCTTCTCCAGGCTGAACAACCCCAACTTTCTCAGCCTGCCTTCCTAGGGCAGGTGCTCCAGTCTCCTCAATTTTGTGGCCTCCTGGACTCGCTCCAACAGTTGGATGTTCCTCCTACATCAGGGGCACCAGAGCTGGACACAGCACCACAGGTGGGGTCTCACGAGAGCAGAGCAGAGAGACAGAATCACCTCCCTCCACCTGCTGGCAACACTCCTTTAGATGCAGCCCAGGATTTGTTTGGTTTTCTGGGCTGCGAACCCACACTGCTGGCTCATGTTGAGTTTCTGGTCAGCCACCACCCAAATGTCCTTCGCCACAAGTCTGCTGTCAGTCATGTCTCAACCCAGCTTGCAGGTGTGCCTGGGATCAAATCCATGTCTCCAATTTAGAGACAAGGAGGTTGTGCAGGACAGTGTCCAATGCTTTGCACAAGCCCAGGCAGACAACATCCATGGCTTTGCTCCTATCCGCCAGTGCTGTAGATACAGCACTGTGTTTCTGTGAGATTTTGCCGGAATTTGACTGGAAACATGTGCCCAAGACTCTCTCTAATAATACCTCATCTCAACTGAGCAAAAACTTCACGCATGCACACTGCTGTACTTCCCACATAAAGGTAACTCACCTCCCACCCTGGTAAACCAAGGTCGTGGAGCTGGCCATGATCTTCAGCCACCTTACAAGGTCCACCACACCTGAACCACTGACTTGTCAAACACAGCTCATTTGTTATTCTCACATTGCTTTATTGTGTGTGTGTGTGTGTGTGTGTGTGGTCTAAAATATCTAAGAATAAAAAAAATCAGCCATTGAGCTTTGGACACAGTTTTATACTGGAAATCCCCCTCTGTTTTTTTTTAATTACCTTCAGCCACATTTTGGATGATCCCATAGGAATGGTTTACCAGAAGTACACTGCTTGGCCACACAGTGATTACAATTTTTCTTGCAGCCCTGGCCCCACTGGCAGACATGGCCAAACTCTTGTGTACACAAGAGGAGTGGGACTCTGCCATAAAATGAACCCTGCTTGGCAATCTTTCCTTACCATGGGAATTGGTGAAAAACTTCCTTCCATTCCCACCTTCAAGTATTTATGAGAGAATTTACAGCCCTGGTTTATATTCACCCATCTTAAAGGGAGCACCACAAAGTAAAGTGCTGTTCACACCCTCTGCACACGTTCCGCTTCCGAAAACACACCTCTTAAACCTTGACCTCCAACAATGACCGTAATAAAGAAATGTCAGTTTTGAGATAGTCCACGTTACAAAGCTTTCCAAATGGTTTATTAGGAAATGGGCCAACAGCCAAATTAACCAGAGTGCCTGGTCCTTCTACTGCTGTTTGCATGAAGGCAGCCATTGGCCTGGCTGAGTGTTAATAACAAGGGCAAATAAATCAGACTTCATTAATTTTCCATTATCTATGAAGATCTAAGGAGACCTGATGTACTTAGAAATGCATGACTCCTGGCTGTCATGTCTGCACACCTATGAGGTCCCTGTGTTAGGTCCCAGCTTCCACTGCTGCCACCCAAAGAGCTCCTTAGGTGCAAAGACCCATGGTGGCAGGGAGGGAAGGCACTCAGAGCACTCTGCCCTCTCCCCCACCATATGCAGCTCCCCTCTTTGACAGGAAGACTTGAGAGCACACTGAGGAGAGAGACAAAGGTTTTGCCCCTCCTGGGACATGGCTGCCAGATGTGGTGAGCTAGAATGGCAGGGAACAGACACAATGGCTCTTGGCTTCTTCTGGGAGACAGTGACTTTTCTGATTCAAAGAAGGCACAAACTCAACTCCAGTGGCATTTCCATCCGCAAGTCTATTTTACACTTGACACAGCACAGATCTGCCAGTCGTGACAGACCTGACAGGTTCAGATACAGATGCTCACAGAGATGTGTCCTTAGGTTTTCTGCACACGCCACAACTGTGACTCACCTTCTGTCATTACAAGATGACAGAGACAACCTGGCAAGCCCAGAGCAAGCAAGCAATATCACCACCATGATGCACAGATTTATAGGCATGATTATATTTGTTAATTCCAACTGAAGAATTTTCAAGGAGGAAAAAAAAGAAATGTGCAGGAGAATTAAGCCAATACCTTACAAATGATGATTCATGAGACATTCACCAAATTGACACCTGGAGTAATCACTGATGCAAAATTTAGCAGATACTAGTGATCTGGTTGATCACATTACATCAATGGGAATAAGCATCATCCAGAGATGTAGAAAAAACATGACTTGAGACACTCCCTTTTACCAAACATTAAAGCAATTGTCAACTTAAGTGGGGGTGAGGGATATATTAAACACGGAGACTCCAAGTGAAAGCAGGTTGCCTGTTGAACTGTCCCAAAATTAATTTAACCTACACAAAGCAGGAATGGTGATCAAAACCCTATTCTGGGTAAGGGTTTAAAGGAAAGAGCAGCAACCTTACAGTGACTAACATGTCAGGAATGGGTGAGTGAAAATTCTAGAAGTCAGATACAAATGGCAAGTTCAAGGGTATATGTGACTGATGGAGGAAGCTGAAAGAATTAATGAAAGCCTCCACAGCCTTACAGGTAGCAGTGGGCATAGAACCATTTCAAGAGACAGAAAGTCAGGAACAGCAGAGCAGAAATAACAGCTGCCTTCAGCATCTAATTTGGATCGCTCTTCTATTTTGGAATAGGTCCTTTCATGAAAAAATACTGATGCACAAGCACTTTCCACAGCCACCATGTTTACTTTCAGCATTCCCCTAACTGGGAAAGCTCCACAGCCACAGGGTGTGAAGAAGAGGAGTGGCTGATAAGCCTCTGGCCCTGATTTTCACAATACTGACTCAGAGTTGACCAGCTCCCTCCGAGCTGTCACTGCCACCATACCACCACCAGGAAAGATGCGACCAACGTGATTTTGCAAGTCAGCAGATGAGCAGTGAGCAGGGGCTAGCACCTTGGTGGCTGACTTGTCCAGAGGCTGGTGGGGACTGGGTGTGCTGTCATGAGAGGGGCTGGAGAGGGGCAGCATGGCACTGTGACCCCTGCAGCAGCTATCATTCCTTCTTCTCCGCTGGGACTGGCACCAGCTGGGGTGCAGCCGTGTGCAGCAGCATGAGCCCGCAGACTGTTATGGCGAGGCCGACCCACCACAGAGGTGTCCACGTCTCCCCGAAGAGCAATCTTCCCAGGATAGCCTGAAGGAAAAGAGAGACACAAAGCTTTGCTGGGCTGAGCTGCCCCAAGGCCTCTTGCGCTGCCAGAGCTGTGAGGACTTCTGGGAGAGACAGCCCTGGAAAAGACCTGGTTGAGGAAATTCCTACTGGGATGACCAACAGGAATGGCTGCTGAAGATGATGCTGGAGATTACCAACTCCACCAGCAGCCAGGAAGCACAGCCATACCAGGATCCCTAAGAAGGATTTGACAGATGAACATGTACTTTGCTGCCTTCCCAGAACTTCTCAGGAGCCAAATTTCCCACTGACTGGGCATTTATTAATACTGTTGATTATTGGACACCACCACGAGCTGTCTGCCAGCTGGAGCACAGAAACAAGGTGAACTGCTATCAAGAGCAAAAAGCACGGGGAAAAAACCTGTGGGTCAAAGACTCTTGCTGTCACTAGAGGTGCTTCATCTTCAGACCCAGCTAGGGTGACTCTGGCTTGTCACAAGTGAGGTGCTGCAAAGGAAAAGCAAAATGAAGCAAAGCTCCCAGCTCCAGCTCCCACTGGCAATCAGTTCAGTAAACTGTGTTGCTGCTGCAAGGCATGCAGCAGCACCCTTCCTCCTGCACCACCATCCAGGAAAGTTCCACCACCTGTGCTGTGAACAGCTATCAGAGCAGCTGAGGCCTGACACAATCATTTCCCATCTGCCTGTAACTCTCCCTCTGTGGCCAGCGATGCTGGCTGCACTGGGAGATGAGTTACAACCAGCGTGGGCATTCCCACCTGGCTGTGCTCCTCAGGCTTCAGTGTCTGGGGAAGGGGTCTACTCACCGAAAAGATGAAATTGGAGGCTGTTGTCGTCACAGAGGCAGCAGCTGAGGAGGAGGAGAGTCGCAAGGCTTTTGTGAAGACTGTCCACATCACTGCATTGCACACAAACACCAGGCCAATGCAGCTGAGGCGAAGCAACACTGAGAGCTGCAGGACAAAATGGAAAACTCTGTGTATTTTCATCCCCCAGTTATTCAACCTCAGTAATTCATGCACACTTTGGAGCCAAACCTAATGGTGTGGGCTTTTAAAACTGAATTACGGCTGGTATTACACGAAGATGAATATATTAAATCACAGAAGGAAATGGAAACAAGGAAACAGCTCTGGACAGACCATGAGCCTGCCATGTCCTGCTGCAAGCCCAGCCTCACACTACAACATGGGAAGTGCTGGGATAATGTGCAGCAGCTGCCATGCCAGAAGCCAACCTGCAGAAATTTCTCCAGCTCACAAACAGGTGCCACACACAACACCCATAAATACCCTTCCTTATCACCTGATGTATGGAAAAGGGTCAAATTCAGTCTGACAAACACCAGAGATGCCATACATGCTGGCACTGTGTGTGCTCCAGAACCCAGCTGTGAATGTGAGCCAGGACCTGGGTGCTCCCAAAACACTGGTCCTTACGAGATCCCAGGACCTGGCCTGCCCTAGTCCTGCAGTGAGGGTAGAGCAGGATCTCTGGGAGGAAAGAGCAAGCTGAGTGGCTTCATGCCCTGTTTTCCACAAGGAGTAGCTTTTGCCTTGTTTTACTCACTGGAGAGCAGGGAAGTTTACTGACGGGGTCTCTGCTCTAGCATTTAGTAGCAATAAAACCAATTTTGAATTCAAGGGCCTCAAGAAAGATCTCCCTCCTTAGACAACCTGACCAGATGTGTAACTGCCTCACTCTGAAAAAAGGGCACAGCTGCACCTAAAAAGTCAGCACCATTCACAGTGCCCCCCACCCTTTCCGAGTTTAAGCAGTTGAGGCCATCTCCCCAGCCCCTGGGTACCATGTAGTTGATGTGAAGACACCAAGGGAGATCACAGGCAGGCAGATCACAACTCTCATAGTGACAAGTGAAAGCAAAGCTTTGTCTCTGCCCGTAGCAATCACAGCTTCATAGCCTGCCACCTTTCAGTCCACGGTGGGATCCATCTTGAGGCAGACAGAAATGCAGGTTTGAGGCCATCAACAAGTACAGTTCAGAGGTCGCACCTGCCCTGTGGGAATGGCTGCAGTGTCCTCCTGCCAGCTGCCCAAATCAACAGCGTCCACCAACTGTGTCCTGCTCCCACTCAGAAGAAGAAATTACTAATTGCAAGCAGTGGGGGAGCCCACAGTTTTCTGAAGTAAGTGATATGGCAAAGAAAAACAAAGCGAAGCAAATCCATGCTTGATGGCTGGCACAAGCTCTCCGAGGCTAATCCCACTCCAGTGAGGGATGGTACAGGTGTGTCACCTCATTTGGCCCCAGTTGTGGCAAAGGCCACCAACTTCTGCGACTAATCAGGGCAACAGTAAAGATTCAGAATGATTCCCACCAGTGAATCACTTTGTTTTCCCACTGACACCCTGGCAAACCCTGTGTGGATGGGTAAGAGGGACAACCATGTTCAGCTACCACTGCTCCTTTGAGGAAGAAAACTCGTGCTGTGTGAGGGCTCACCACAGGATGGGGTTTGCCTCCCAGTTTCACTCTCTGCCTGTATGACCGGGCAGTTTGACTTTCCTCAGGGAGTTACGTACATCCACACACCTCTGGTGAGTAAGCAGACTTGGGAGTGGGGATGAGAGGGGAAAACAATTCTCTGTGTTTCACCTAACCCCAGTGTATTTCTGGAGCAGAAAGAGACCATGCTGCTGAGATAAAAAAACAAACAAACAAACAAACAAACAAAAAACACTAAAGAAATCTTATTACTGCCTTCAACTATTAGCTTGAGGGTGTAGAGGGATGGAGCCCAGGCTCTTCTCCAAGGTCCACTAGGATATGACAAGAGGCAACAAGTGAAGTATGGAACAAAATAAGGAAAAGCAAAGGTGATCAAGCGCTGGAACAGAGGTCATGGGCTCCCAGACTTTCTAAGTATTTAAAACTTAATTGGAGAAGATCATGTATAAGCAAAGGTTGGACTAGAGACCTCCCAAGATCTGGCCAGACTTGAGCCAGTCTGAGACTACTGGTGGTGAAGCAAAGCTGGCTCCCAACGTCACAGCAACTATGCCACCTTCAAAAGTGACCCAGAACCCATGGCTTCTTCTGATCTCCTAATGCAGAGCCAGGGAAACCAGCTGCAGGTGGCACATGCCCAGAAGGAAGGTTTATCAGAGAATAGTTAAGTTTCTCTGTGCCCAGGGCAGCAGAGTGGCCATTGCAATGGTACGCAGACAGAGAGATAGGAACATCCCCACGTGTTCCCCACAAGGAAGGAGGGACATAAATTCCTCCCCTGCTACGGACTCAGCTGAGCCACCCCAATGAGTCAAAGTAATCAAGGATTACTGTTCTGATTGCTTTTCTAAGCAAAGATTAATTTCAGTGTACATTTCAGATAATCCAGAATCACTCCTGAAGTGGCAGAAGTAATTTTAGATGAAGATTGGCAGGGGAGCGGAGAAAGCAAAGAAAAACTTTTGTTCAAGTGCAATGACCCTTCCTGGTCATGCTGCTCTCAGGCTGCGCCACCACAACACATCCTTGTGGCCAGGAAATCCATCCCTGTGGTGCTGTGGAGTATCCTGCTACCCTGCATCATCAGCTCTCAGAAGTGTCAATACACTTTTTGCTGCTGTGTTCCACACTGCACAAGTGATGGCTGCTATCCCACTTATTTTGGGATTTCTGTAGCTCTTCCTCCAACACAAAACCCCTTGAATCTTTGTCACCTCGTGGCTGCTCTGCAGAAATGCCTTTGCCACATGAGTGCACTGAAATACTTTATGCACCTACAGTCCCATGCAATTTAAGCTGCTAGGAAGATTATGGCATTTACATAAAACTTGGCTAGTTTTACAGCTAAGCTGATTAATTTAACTAATAACTGTCACCTGGAGCAGACCTGAAAACCAAAATAAACCAATCTGCCCATAAAAAAGAAACAGTCACACAAACACAGCATGGCAGAGGTTGAAAAGGGTCTCTGGAGTTCATCTGGACCAACCTCATCACTCCAGCAGATTGCCCAGGTCCATGTCCGGAGAGTAGATGAGTGTCTCCAAGGATGGAGACTCTACCACACCCCTGGCCACCCTCACAGTTTCTGGATGTTCAGAGGGAAGTGCTCATTTCAGTACGTGCCCTTTGCCTCTGGTCTTGTTACTGGGCACCTCTGGAATGAGCCTGGCTCCATCCTTTGTGTGCCCTCCCTGTGAGTATATTGAAAAGATCCCCCTGAACCTTCTCTTCTCCAGGAGGAACAGTTCTTTCAGCCTCTCCTCACAAAAAAGATGCTCTGATCCCTCCATCATCTTTATGAGCCTCTGCTGGACTCTCTAGTAGCTCCATCACTTTTTTTTGCAGTGGAGAGCTCAGAACTCAACCCAAAACTCCAGATGTGGCCTCACTGGGGCTGAGTAGAGGGGAGGGATAATCCTTCTTGGCCTTCTGTCAACACTTCACATCAACGACAAGATACTTTGTCATAGCATACTAAAAAAAAAAGAAGTACCAACCTCCCCCCATCCTTGCCCCCCAAAAATGGGTAATATTTTTATAAATTTCAACAGAGAAAAGTACTCAGAAAAGATGCTGTCAGCATTTTCAGTAATTCCATGTTCTGCCATTCTCTCAGTACAAAGCATCATCTGGGTTTTTTTTTTTTTGGGCAGAGTGAAGAGTATCAGGATTTTTTTATTTATTTCTCCTTTCTGAGATCACAGAAGAGATTAACAGGATTAGCAGGTACTGAGATTTTGTCTTTTTAACTCTCTCTAATAACCACACAGGTCAATTTCTTTTTTAATTTTTTTCCCTTGCGGAAGGCTGGATTTGTTTCAGATCCAGCTTCCCTTGTGGGCTCCCCTTTGTACATTTGCCACGTGAGTAACAAGCTGTGCCTAAATGAACCTCCCCAAAGTGTTTTTAGGTTACATGCGTGCTGCCTTCCGTCCCCACTCACACACAGCCTGGTGCCCATGTCCCCCTCTGCCGTGGCTGTGCCAGGGTCACTGCTGGAGGCCAGGAGCCAGCACTCCCACGTAACCTCAAGAGTTACGGCCTCGGAGCTGAAGGGCCAGCACTCCCACGTAACCTCAAGCACACGGACGTTTGAGAAACACGACCCAGATAAAGATCATCCCCAGTGATGAACACCCAAAGAGAGGCAGAGAGGAAATCAAGGGCTCCGCCTCTCTGCTCTGCTCAGGGCCGAGCTGAGATAGAATAACTGAGAGAAGGGCGCTGCTATCAGCAAAACAGCGGGCTGAGAACAAGCATTTGATGCTCAGTCATACTAACATCCTGCTTTAAACTAACACTGACGTGGAAGGGCTGGATTTGAGCTCCCAGAGCTGGGCTTGGTTCGGGGCATTCCCGTACCACGCTCGTTCCCCTCACACCCGGCAGGCCCGCTGAGCGCCCCGCGCTGTTTACGTCGGCACCGCGCCTTACTGAGCCCCGCAAGGCTGGGCTGCCCTGGGCTGAGTCACGACTCCGCCCTCGGAGCCCGCCCGCCTTCCCCGGCAAATCCAGGGCAGCCGCAGGAAGCGCCAGCGCTCTTTCCCCCTCACCGCCGAGTGCCGCCTGCGGGGCGACCTCACGGCAGCTCGGGGCACCCAGCACCGCCCGCTCCTTCCTTACCGTGCCGCCGGCCGCCTCCCCGCCCGGGCCCAGCGCCAGCTTCGCCGCAGCGGCTGCCGCCGCCCCCAGGCCCCCCGCGGCCGCCGCCGCTGCTCCCGCCCGCATGGCCCGGCTCAGCCCGGCCCGGCCCCCGCCCGCATGGTCCGGCTCAGCCCAGCCCGGCCCCGGCGGCCCCGCGCAGCGCCAGCGCCGCCCCGCGCGGGCGGGCGGGCCTCAGGCAGGGAAGGGCCCGTGGGCTGCGTTCGCTTGCGCACAAAGGATTTATGGAAACCAGCGGGGAAGCACGGGGCCGGGGCACAACGCCTGTGGCCATGTACAACACAGAAAAAGGGCAGAAGCCGCTGTCGACATGACGATAGTCTAGAAACAGGAAAGAAATGCTTGTAAACGTAGAACATGGCAGTCACAAATAAAACCACCCTTGATTGACCCCTCTTGGCCTGTGTGCTCCTCATCTGTGCTAGTTCTCACCTCTACTCACACCCCAACACGTTTTCCCTTTAATGTCAGATTTTATTTCTCCACATCACATCTCAAGTGGAAACAAATCTGCATAGGTAAGTTGGTGGAAATTCTTTCCCTCAGCCAAATGATGTAGTAAATCATTAGGTATATTCTACCCTTTACCAGACACATCTTTCCTCTTTATTCCCTTTTGCCCCAGTGCTTGTGGTCAAAACAGAAAACAGAATGATAGGATTACTGGCAGTTAAAAAACCCTTATTTGATATTGCTATAGAAATCAACATTTTGTGTTCCACTAATAAGCATTTCAGTTATTTGCAATAAATCTTTAAGTGCAATTAAATGAACTTGTGGTGTACTCCTGTACAATTTTCTGCATATTTTCACATCTTCTTTCCTAACATTTTTCACTTCTTTGATAAGAAAATGGTTGCAAAACCCTCAGAACCCTACAGTGCTATTATAGAGCTCTAAGTCGATACTAACAGAAAACAGGTTTGAAAAACATTTTATTTTCAAATAAAGAACAGAAACAAAAAATGTATTTATAGTACTATTTACAAGCCTGTTACTAAATTCTTATTGATGCTTTATCGAACAAAGTTTGATATGAAAATTATTTTTAAGCAACCCAGGAAAATCATTCTATGTTTAACTAAAGAAACAAACACAAAGAAATTGTCCTTTTTGAATTTTGGCTCTGATGGAAAATGTAGCATTTCAGAAGTAGTAGGAACCTGAATAAAAGTACAAAAGGAGACAAAAATCCAGGTGTATTCCCAGGGAGAAAGCTTTTCCTTGGCAAGATACAGAAGTTTCAAGGAACTATATATCCAGCATTTATACAAAATCAGGTTTTTAAGTTGAAAAAGATTACAAAAACGTGTTAAATTTTATTGAAAGCTGCCCACAGAGCTGGAATAACAATATTCACTTAGAGTTACTACCAGCAAAAAATCTACAAACTAGAATACTTGATTATTCCAGAACCACAGCAAAAGTCAAATTTGACAACTGACTTTTGCTCATTCTGTACACTTCAAAAATATGGCTCTGCAGTTTTATTTGGGTCCTTACCGCTGATTTTGTCTACAAATGTCACATTTTTTTGATTCTTTCAAAAAAATGTTTTCAACTCGTAGCTTTTCAGTCTCCTGCAAAACAGAGAAAAAACATGGATATATTAAGGAAATTATCCTCACTTTATTTTGGTGTTTTTACACAAGCAGTATCTAGAGTTGTTCAAGTGTTTTATACACTATATACTCGAGGAAGTAAAATGGAGATCAAAGGTATCTCTGTTCCTCTCCAACAGAAGAGCAGGAATTTTAGTCTTTGTTCTCAAAGCTTAGCTCTTTGCTATGTCAGGCAGATTACTCCATCTGTAATCTACTCTGCAACTTACCTCTGTAAGTTTAGCATAATCTTTCTTCAGTTTCACAAGATACTGAATCTTCTGGTTTAGGTTTTGATGACCAAGTAATTTCCCATTCTCCTCAGCAAGTGAGTTAACTTGCTTCCTCAGCAATTTTATTTCCTGTAGTAATAAATACATTGTGTACCTCTTAGCAGTAGCCTCTCCTCCTCTTTTCAGAAGCAATTCTTAGAGCTATTAACATACTAACATTCAAGTTTGTTGTAACATATGATGCAAGAGTTGGTTCACTCAGGAAATACATGTTTGTTTCTAAAAGGCAAAAAAGGAGCACCATTTGATTTGTACAACTAAGTGATTTCTGCATCCAGACTTTCACTAGTGCAGAGAACATCACAAATAAAGCTAAACTGCAAAACAAAACAGCTGTACCTCTGCTAAATAAGATTCTGCTGTGAAGACAACAAAAAAGTTATGTCTATGTAACCTTTTCAATCCTGTCTTTTTCTTCATATGCTTCCTCCAGTTTTGATCTAATTTCTTCTTTCTCATTAAATGCTTTGAGCTCCAATGTCCTTGTTCGTTCCATCTCCAAAGTCATTTCACGACAGCTTTTCTCTTGGATTCTGAGGATATTTTTGGTCTCTTCTAATCTGCCAATATAAAAGAATCATAAAACACTAAAAACCAACAAAAATGTCATACAACTGAATTCCTAAGTCAGTCTTGGACATGGAAGGAGGCTCCTTTAAAAGGATTATTTTGAGATATTGTATTTCCCTTAGAATTTAGTGCTAAAGAAAGGAAAAAATTCATTCTGCTTCACAGTTCTTGTGTTTGAGACTATCAACTAGGCAGTATTTTGGAGCTGCTCTTCTCTTTGGGAACTGTGCTGTTTGCAATCCTGGATATACAACTCCACTCATGATTGAAAACAGAAGCTTCACCTACAAGAACACTTTGAATTAATTCACCTAAGGAATGTAAATTTTCCAGCTAAACTCAGGAGCTCTATAGATTCCCTCTATAAAATGCTTGTTTGCCTGTGGCTTTTCCCCCCTGACAGCCTCATTGCTCAGAAACATCTCTGAGCACTTCAGATGGTCTGAGCCTGCTTGGTTGGCCTGGTAAGAGAATGAGTGTCACTTTTGATAGAATTAAAACATTTTCAGCAAATGAGGTCACAGGATATTAAACTGTGCCATCAAACTTAGCAGCCTGTCTATTGCTTCTATGAACTTGAGTAATTTTGCAGATCAATTCAAATATTGCATACATGAAATTTCTGTCACCAGTTTGTTTTACTGAAGTGTGGTGTTTAAGACCTGCTCTGTGAACATTATTCATTTGCTGCATTTGGTAAGACATTTTCTTGATGAGAAAAGAATGTTTTCCCTCTGTCCATTATTTGCCTGTATGACACATTGTAGCACTGCTATGAAGTGTGTTTTGGAGATCAGACAGGAATGTAAAATCAGTGCATCAAATAGCAAAATAATCCCTACAACTAAAATTTCCAGACTAGGGTTTCTGGAAAATTTAATGCAAATTACTTTTGAAATTACCATGTGCATAAGAACTACCTTCCTCCTTAAAAGAAGTTACTTACATAGAAAGCATTCCATCAAATGAAAATAACTCTTATGTTAGGAGATTCAGCCACAATAAATCCAGAAGCAATACAGATTAGGAAAAGAACAGCAGGGCAGACATTTCAAAGTAATTGTTATCTACTGATTCAGTATTTTCTTTCTTTGCTATTATCCACCCAAGGTACAAAACACTTGAGTTTTGAGGACTACTTGCCTAGTAGTGCAAAGACAATTTAGAAAGCCTCTAATAAAAAAAAAAAATTCATTTTTCAAGCTGAACCACAGAAATTTCAACAAATAGCATAAACCCCAAATAATTAAATTTTGTTTAAAATTATAAAACATTTGAAATATTAATAAAGAAATGAACAGTATTTCAATTTAATTTAAAAAGGAATGCTATTCAATTCACTGCATATAAATAACTTTAAACAATTAAAAACATCCCTTCCACTTCAAGTTTTTATGGTTCTACCCATTATTGTCCTGATATAATGCTATGTAGTAATAGGTGCTACTACCACCTACTGATGAGAAAGAGTAAGAACTCAAGGTATCTTGCATAAGTGTAAATACTTCCAAATTATGTCTTTTGTCATTTCAGATCTTGGGCTTCTATTGCTTAAATATATCTTTTTTTCTGTCATTAATTAGTTTAATACTAGCTTCCAGTTCAAGGAACAATACTTAGACTTACTCTGCTTTGATTTTCAGCATTTCTTCCACTGCTTTATTCTGGAAAAGTTCAAAAACATTAGATGCAGTCTTAATGTTGAATACACACACATATATATGTTTAAAAGTATCTGTTATTTAATTGAGGCTACATATCTCATTCCAGATCATCCTGCTACCTAGTAGTTCACATCTCTAATATTCACCTTAAGTTCATCTCTTTGCTGTAAGCACTTATTTCCCATTTCATGCCAGCACAGCTGACCCACAACAGTCTCTCTCTGCCCACACACACAGAGCAGAGCTCTAACAGGGGGTTCTTCTGTCTGGGACATCCATGGAAACCTCTGCTGTGACATTAACTTCCCTTTGACAGAGGCCTGACATTAGCAAGTGACACAATCTTCACTTTCCAACTCTGGGGATGAGTCAGATTTAGCGATCTGAACCTGTTTTGCTAATTGTGCAATCTGACACCCACTTCACTGGTGTTAGGCCAAGATAGAAATCCTAAGAGATAAGTCCCAGACTGTGCCTCTTAGAGTTCACTAGAAATTGGTGTTTGTTTTGCTGCCATGCAAACAAAAAAATCAAACCAAACCAACAAAAAAATCACACTAATACTTCACAGCAGGTCAACAGCAACTGACATGAGAAAGATAATATACCTTGGCAAGTTTCTCTTCAGCAATCTCTTCCTCTTTCTCTTTAAGGTACTGAATATCAAGATGTTTCTGATCACTATGAAGTTCAAGAATGAGAAAAAAAAGTTTCTCACAAACAGAGGAAGCCAGTTGTAAAAACATGTTATCCAGATTAAACCAGTAAGTGTGTGTGCAGTTATTTTCACACATGTTCATACTCAAAACACTGAACATCATAAAAAAGCTCTGTAATGGTTTAAATTTCTAAATACATTTTCTTTCATCAGAGTATAAAGAAATTAATGTTTTAATGGAAACAATTACAAATATAATAAATATGCAACTTATGTTTGT